TGTGGGGGTTGTGAGGGAGTGTGGGGTGTTTGGGTTGTGAGGATTATGGGGTGGGAGGTTGTGGGAGTTTGGGGATTATGGGGGTTGTAGTAGTTGTGGGGGTGGTGGGTTTTGGGGGTTGTCCGTGGAGGTTGTTGGGTTTGATCGGAGTTTTACGGCACCTGCAACACAAAAAAGTCATAAATACAGGAGATTAGAGGTGCTATTAAAGAGTGTTATACACCGAATAAAAGGATGGGAAGTGAAGACGATGGAAGTTTGGTAGGAAAGGAGGATGAGAGATATGGAGGAAAGATGTTTGACAGGAAGGAAGGAGGAGAGATAAGGACAACATAATATGTTTGATTGGAAAGAAGGAGGAGAGAAAAGGAGAATAGATGTTTTATATGAAATGAAGTCGAGGGATCTGGAGAATAGATGCTTGATAGTAAAGAAGGAGAGATAAGGATGATAGATGTTAGATAGGAAAGAAGGAGGAGAGACAATGAGGATAGAAGAAAAAAGATCACACTCGGTGAGGTCTGGGGATCTAGCAGGCCAAGCACAGAGAGCGAGGTCTTGGGCCTCTTTCCGACCAATCCATCGCTGGGGTACCTTTAAAAAAATCTCGAACCATATACAGCCAATGGGGTAGCCCTTCATCTTGTTGAAAAATAAAGTCATGTGAAACTGCTTGCAGTGATGTGAAGAGCCAGTTTTGGAGCATAAATATCGAGAAGGTTTGTCTTGTAACGGTATTCCGTTCATTTCACTCACTCTGCCTACCATCCACCTCTTTTTTTCACTCTCCGTCTTCCCACAATCTCTCTGCCTTGCCAGTCGGTCGACACGACACAGGGGCTACAAAACGAAACACGCCTCCTCTCAGTACAACACTACCACCACCACTACCACCACCACCACCTCCAACAACAACAACAACAACAACAACAACAAAAACAACAACAACAACAACAACAACAACAATAAACAACAGCAACAACAACAACAACAACAACAACAAGGCGAAACAAAACCCTACAGCACATGGTGATCAAAATCACGTCATGACGTATGCGGTGTGTCTAGAAGGCGCATGCCACAGACATCTACTATATCCTAAACCACAGACATCTACTATAATATTGTCCTAAACCACAGACATCTACTATAATATTATCCTAAACCACAGACATCTACTATAATATTATCCTAAACCATAGACATGCCATAGACATCTTCTATAATATCCTAAACCATAGACCTGCCATAGACATC